CAGGCAGGGGCTGGGGCAGGCCCCTCTGAGGCCCACAGGCTCCATCTGCCCCCAGGCCCCCTGCTTCCGAGGCTGGTGAGGGCAGAACCAGCTCTCTCAGACAGAGCGTAATAGTGGAGTCAGTTCCCCAGACGCCATGAAAACGCAGTGGGTGTGTGGGGAGGGATGGGGGGGGATGGGGGGGCTCTTCCCTCCAGCCAAGCAGAGGGGTCCAGCAGGAAGAGACCCAGAGCCCTGCTGCTGGGGGGTCACAGAGTACAATGCGGGTACCAGCTCCCCTGGGCAAAACCTCCTGACCACAGGCAGGGCATATAGGTCCCCGGGGCAGAAGGCTCAGGGGTCCCATAGGCAAGTGGCCAGGTGGGCAGGAGGTGCCTCCAGGCAGGACTCGGCTCAGAGGTGGCCGCGTGACCATCAGCATGTGCGGGGAGGTCTGGGCCCGGGCTGGGTGGGGGTGACAATGACATCTCACGGGAGACGCTGCAGGAGGTGGAGAGGAAGCTCTGGCTCCCGGGCCGCAGGGCAGCTTCATGGTCTGTGTGGTCAGGAAGCAGAACCAGGAGCCCCCCCCTCGCCCTCCCCACCGGCCTCGGCAGCCCGCCTCCCAGTCTCGGGTGCCTGAGGCGTGTTCCAGGAGATGCGGGCTTAGGCGTGCTGTCCACAGGGGCCTCTGGTGATGAAGATGAGGGCCTGGACTCAGTAGTGGTGGAATTCGACGATGGGGACACCGGTCACATTGCCGTCTCCAACGTTAGGCTGCTGCCCCCAGACTTCAAGATCCAGTGTGAGCCCCGGGACCCTGCGTGGCAGGGCCCTGGGTGGGGTGGGGCTGTGGGGGCGGGGCCCTGGGTGGGGCGGGGCCCTGCCTGGGCTGTCCTGAGTCCAAAGGCTCCCAAGAAAGGGTTGGGGTGGCAGTCACCCCACGGCCATGGCACTGAAGCCCTTGGCCCATGCTCTCTGCAGGCACAGAGCCCTCTCCAGCCCTGCTAGTGTCTAGCAGCTGCCGGAGGAGCAAAAAAGTGTCCAGTGAGGCCCCCCTACCCAGTGAGGCCGCCACCCCCAGCCTGTCCCCCAAAGCGCAGGATGGCCCCGAAGCTTTGAAGACACCCGGGAAGAAATCCATCAGCAAAGACAGAGCTGGTATTTTGCTGGACTTCCCAGAACCCGGATCACGGCAGGCACCCTCTGGGGACTGGGGGCACCGGGAGGCCCTTGGGGCAGGCAGGGTCCGGGGAGGAGCAGGTGGAGGCCGCTGCATGGACCCAGGCTGACTCTGCTGGGTCTTTGTCCTCAGGTAAAGCCGAACTGCTAACCTCAGGTGCCAAATCCCCCACGGGGGCCTCCGACCATTTCCTGGGCCGCCGGGGCAGCCCCTTGCTGAGCTGGTCCGCAGTGGCGCAGACCAAGCGGAAGGCGGCGGCCGCGTCCGGGAAGGGCCCGGCGGTGCTGCAGAACCTCTTCCAGCTCAACGGCAGCAGCAGGAAGCTGCGCGCCCGCGAGGCGCTGTTCCCCATGCACAGCGTGGCCGCGCCCGTGTTCGGCAACGGCTTCCGCGCCGACTCCTTCAGCAGCCTGGCCAGCTCCTACGCGCCCTTCGTCGGCGGGGCCGGGCCAGGCCTGCCTGGGGGATCCCACAAGCTGCTGCGGGCCAAGAAGGCCGAGAGGGTGGAGGCCGAGAAGGGCGGGCGGCGGCGGGCGGGCGGCGAGTTCCTGGTCAAGCTGGACCACGAGGGCGTGACCTCTCCCAAGAACAAGACCTGCAAGGCGCTGCTCATGGGGGACAAGGACTTCGGCCCCAAGCTGGCACGGCCCCTGCCCAGCCCCAGCTACGCGCACCCGGCCCTCGTGGGCAAGGACAAGAAGGGTCGGGCGCCCATACCCCCGCTGCCCATGGGGCTGGCGCTACGCAAATACGCGGGCCAGGCCGAGTTCCCGCTGCCCTGTGACAGCGACTGCCACAGCTCCTACTCGGACGAGGACGAGGACGGGCCGGGGCTGGCGGCCGGGGTACCATCCCGCTTCCTGGCCCGCCTGTCCGTCTCCTCCTCCTCCTCCGGCTCATCCACCTCCTCCTCCTCGGGCTCCGTGTCCACCTCCAGCCTCTGCTCCTCGGACAACGAGGACTCGTCCTATAGCTCCGACGACGAGGACCCGGCCCTGCTGCTGCAGACCTGCCTCACCCACCCTGTGCCCACCCTCCTGGCCCAGCCCGAGGCCCTGCGCTCCAAGGGCGGCAGCCCCCACGCACACGCCCAGCGCTGCTTCCTGGCCAGGGCCTCCGTGGCCGGCACCGGCGTAGGCTCTGGCCCCAGCAGCAGCAAAGCCAGGCTCAAGCGCAAAGAGGCTCTGAGCTTCTCCAAAGCCAAAGAGCTCTCCCGGAGGCAGCGGCTGCCCTCCGTGGAAAACCGGCCAAAGATCTCCGCCTTCCTGCCCGCCCGGCAGCTCTGGAAGTGGTCGGGGAACCCCACACAGGTAGGGCTCCAAACTCCCAGCTCCCAGGGAAGCCCACGTGGGCGTGCCGTGCCCCCTCTGCCCTTCCCTCCCTCCCTCCTGTTTTCATCTTCCTACTTGATTTCAAGTTACGAAATTGGAAAACAGGGAAAAACAAAAACCCGCCCACGGCCCAGTAAGGCCGACAGCCACTGCTGCTGGCCACGGCGCTGGAGCCCACGGCTCATGCGACAGTGGAAATGGCTTCGTGTCGGGGCCAGCTGAGCTGCTCACACGTCGGGGTATCACCTTCCCACATCGATAAGTGGCTCGGCCAGAGGTGGAGGGTCCCATCCCCGGTGCTAGCACCCCCAGAACCCTGCAGGGCACGGTTCTGGGGGTGCTTGTGGGGCCGCTCATGGGTCTTTTGCCCTTGTGAATAACACTGCCGTAGTGACCATCCCGTTCACACATCCCAGGTCATTGTCCCTTTAGAGTTAGTCCGGATGCCACGACTGTCTGTGGAGGCACACCCCCTGCTCCGATCATGGTCCCAGGGCCTCCAGCCACGGCGCTGCCATTCCTGCTGTTGTAGGCCCCCCACCACTCACACCCACACACACACGCACACTCAGACATGCACACCCCACACACACCCTCACCAACACCAACATCCCCTCACACACACCGACACACCCACTTACATCCTCACACACACCCCCTCACCAACACCCTCACAGACACACCCATTCACACGCACACCCACCCATACACCCTCACCAACACTCATCCTCACACACACACACGGATGCCACACCCGCACGCTCACACCCACTCCGCACACCCATACACCCTCACCCACACACCGACACGCTCCCTCACACCCTCACCCACACACCCCCACTCAAACCTTCACCCGCAGCCACACACACCCACTCACACCCACACTCAAACCTTCACTCATACACCCACACTCACCCCCACCGTTACCCATGCCCACACCCTCCAAGCCTCCTGGCCGCCGCCTCACGCCACGACCCAGCCTCTCAGAGTGCCCGCCCGTGTCCCCCACAGCGGCGCGGCATGAAGGGGAAGGCGCGGAAGCTGTTCTACAAGGCCATCGTGCGGGGCAAGGAGACGCTGCGTGTCGGGGACTGTGCCGTCTTCCTGTCGGCCGGGCGCCCCAACCTGCCGTACATCGGCCGCATCGAAAGCATGTGGGAGTCGTGGGGCAGCAACATGGTGGTCAAGGTCAAGTGGTTCTACCACCCCGAGGAGACCAAGCTGGGCAAGAGACAGTGTGACGGCAAGGTGAGGCCCGTGGGGCTGGGCTGGTGCGGGGCTGACGGCAAGGTGAGGCCCGTGAGGTCCATGCGGTCGGGCAAGTTCAGGGGCTGACAGCAGGGTGAGGTCCCCAGGGAGGACCCGGGGAGGGGTAGGACAGCAGCAGTGCTGTGCCCCAACACAGAGCACCCGGCCCCATCACAGCCCTGATCAGCAGGGGCCATGGCCCGTGGGCGTGTTCTGGAGCGGGGCCCCCGGGTCCCTCCCTACTTTGACAGTGTCACCTGGTGGGGGGGTGTGGCCACAGCAGTGCTCAATGTCCGGCCCAGTTCACTCCTGGGACGTGTGGCAGCCCCCACCCTGTGGGCCCTCCCTGCCACCGATGCCAGCCAGAGACAGAAATTGCCGTCCACACGTCCTCTGCTCCTCCTTGAGAAGAAGCCCCTTCCCAGGCCACGTGACGCATCCATCTCTGGGGAAATGAGCATTTCTCTGGCAGCCCACAGAGGGTCCCCGGCAGGCTCCTCGGCCTCTGGACTGGTTGCCGTCCTCCAGCCACAGTTAGAGGTCCCTCCAGGGACCCTGACAGCGCTGGGGTTGGGGGGTCTTTGAGGCTGAGGCCGGCCACCGACACCCCGCACTCCTTGTCCCCAGAACGCGCTGTACCAGTCCTGCCACGAGGATGAGAACGACGTGCAGACCATCTCCCACAAGTGCCAGGTGGTGGCACGCGAGCAGTACGAGCAGATGGCCCGCAGCCGCAAGTGCCAGGACCGGCAGGACCTCTACTACCTGGCGGGCACCTACGACCCCACCACCGGGCGCCTGGTGACAGCCGACGGCGTGCCCATCCTGTGCTGAGCCGCCCACCGCAGATGCCTCCCACCCTCGCCGGGGACCCTGTGCGCGCAGCCTGGCGTGGGCCGAGCCGCCGGGTGGGAGACGGCCCCGGCCTCCCAGGGGCGAGTCTGAGCAAATATGCAAGCCCATGGGCAGCCCAGGCTTTCCTCCGGTTTCCCTGGAAAGAGCGCTCTAGGTGTTGGAACCCAGTCCCGTCCCGTCCCGTCCGCTGCGGAGGGTCGGGCGGTGGCCCCGATGGGTCCCCGGCCCGCCCCGCCCACGGCGCCCTCCGTTTCCTGCACCGGCAGTTCACGGGAGATTCTAATCCAAGCCATATTCCCTAGTACCTCCGACTGTCTCCCACCAGGGAAAGCAGAAATCAGGTGTGTTGTCTATTTATTTCTCTATGTAAATATTGTATTTCTGTGGGGAAGTTTTACGGAAAAATGTGGAAAAGGATTTTTCCCTATTTGCGTGTCGAGGTGTGTGTGTGTGTGTGTGCGTGTGGGTAACGATTTTCGTCCTGGGGTTTCCTTTGGAAATGCAATGTTCTCAGCCCGGCTGGGTTTCAGCAGGGCATCTGGGATGACAGAGGCAGCTCTGGGCAGGGGCAGGAGGCAGAGGCCACGGGAGGGGCAGGTGGGAGCCTTGGCGGCACCCTCTCATCTCTCGCGGGGGGGATGCTCGGGCAAGATGAAAGCCAGTCCGGTTTATTTCTTTTCAGTACGTCTCCTAGAAAAGACGTGTTGCAGCCGGGGGTGGTGATGAGGGGCCATGGGGGAAAAGGGATTCAAGAGGCAAAGCCCAGACCAGGGAGTGCGACAGTGGACGTGTGCCTCTCACCTCTGCTCAAAACAACACAAAGACGAACAAATATTTTAAAGTACTGATAAGAAAAAGTGATACTTTGATCGTATTTCCCAAATACATATTCCAACTTGTATCTGATTTCCGTTTCCATGGCCAGTGGGTTTAAGGCCACGGAGTCTGGCCTCCACCCAGAGCAGGGAGGAGCTGGCCCCTCACCCCCCTGGCACACTCGGGAAGCAGGGCCCAGCTCTGAGCCCCTCCTCACCCCCAGGGCCCTAACTTTCCTGAAAGGAGCAGATGCTTCGTGGAGGGGCAGCTTGGCCAGGGCCCTGAACTGGGCAGGGCTCAGGGCCCACGAGGGCGGGTTCTCTCCTCACCCCAGAGCAGAGTGCATGGAAGCGACGTCCCTTTTCCTCCCCCAGACACCTTTATCGCTGCCCCCAAAGCCCTGGCCAAGCTTGCCGGCCTGCTCAAGACACGGATGGTGGTGGGGCTGGGCCAGAAGCGCTGCGGCCAGGGCAGGCTCTGCCCCCTCGGCCCACCACACGCAGGGGAAGGCCCCTTCATGGGCCCCCTTTTCCACCAGCCACATCTGCCTGGCCCTCAGACCCCTCTGCCTGCCCCTACCCCTTAAGAGGGTTTCTGGGCCTTTTCTGTGGACACTTGGTAGATCAGAGGGCCTGATGGGCTAATGCTTGGGGCATAGAATAAGGGTCCCCCTGACCACCTGAGCCCACATCCTGGCCCCAGGTGCAAGGAGCACCTTTCGGGGGCTCTGCCCCAGTAACCCAGGAGAACTCACACCCCTCCTTCTCCCACAGCCAAGGACAGACAGGGCTGTCTGGAACTGAGCCCGACAGCCCTCCACCTCACAAACACCTGGTGGGGGCACACACTCACCGTGTCCTTCCACCCCAAGGCTCCCCTGACCCCACAGGAGCTTCAGGAAAGCCCCCCAAGTTAGCTGATGCTCTAGGACCAGCTCTGTCACCCACACCATGGGCCTCAGAAGCAGGGGTGCTGGCGGGTGCCCTACCCCCAAATCCCCGGTCCCCTTGACCCCCCTGTTTTTTCTTGGGTCTGTTAGGGACTGTTTCTCACCTGCTGGCTGGCCTCCTTGAAGGGCCATTTCTGGAGGCTCCCTAGGAAGCTGAAGGCTGGGGGGTCATGTTGTGGTTGGGGATCCCCACTCCCACCCACGAGCCTACCCTTTGTCTCACACGAGTGCAATATTTCATTCCCGGCGGTCGTCTGGGGAGGTGGTTAGATGAGGTCCTGCTTGAGGCTCGGGGATCAGAACAGCGTCCCGTGAGGAAGCGCGTGCGGCCGGGGACACACTGAGCCGCGGGAGCTGGAGGGCAGGCGTTCTGTACCCGAGCAGAGCGCGACCACGGAGGTCCGACCCTTGGCTCCGCCGCTGCGTTCCTGTCCTGCTTCTGCTGGGCTGCGATTTGTCCCCGGTTTTTCTGTCTTTTCCTTTCTGTGTGTGCGTGAATGGTGTGACCCCTGCCCCCTCCGTGGTGACCGTGGCGAAGGCACGATTCCTGTAAATGTGTAAACTAAGGGGATGGTTGGATTTTTTTTTTTTCAATGTAAACACTAAAAACAGACAAAAAACACACAAAGGTTTTATGAACAGCAGACTCTATGTAAAGGCATTTTAGTATTAAATTTTTTATTGATAACTTGCTTAAGAATAAATATATGGACTATTGGACAGGTTCTCGGTGGTCCCGGGTCCTGTGTCCCACGGCTACTCCTGGGTCCCCAGGGCTCCAGGGCCCAGCAGAAGCCTCCCATTCCCAGAGCTGGGGCTTCGGGCCCAGGCCTCCCCTCCACCCCCGCTGTGGCCGAAGTGAAGCCCCTCAGGGCACTGAGCCTCAGCCAGGAATGGGACATGTGACTGGAGCCGGTCAGGGTGGGCTCAGGTGTGGGGCCCCTCCAGGAGGAGGCCTCTTCCCTGGTTGGTCTCACAGACTGCTGGTCAGTCCCTGTCTAGCCTGACCAGTCTGGAGACAGAGTAGGTTCCGCTGGAGGGCACAAGGGGTCAGAGCAGTCCCTGAGCCGCCACGTTGGGCAGGGCCTCAGGTGTGAGGGACCGCCAGGCCCAGGTGCGCGGACGGAGCAGTGCAGCCCCGCTGGAGAGAGCCCTGCTCAGGAGGCTGCAGACCCCGAGGAAGCCTCATGCTGATGAGGGGCGGAGGACAGGCCTTGCCCCCTCCACCTCCGGGGTCTCTGGAAAAGCTTCGTGAGGTCAGGGCACATCCGCCCCCGTGGCCCTGAGTGTCTGGTTGCAGCTGTGCCCAAGGCCAGGAAACACGGTCCAGGAGGATGACTCCTGAGTCAGCAGCGCCGTCCCAGCCCCCGCCCCAGAGTGCAGAGGGAGGTGCCCGGGCTGCCTCGAGGGCAGGGGCAGATGGGGGCCTTGGCCGGCCAAGCGCTGAGGAGGGAGGGCTTGCTGGACCAGGTTTCCGGGTCAGGGGTCCTCTGTGGTCAGAAAGGAAGGACTGGGGTGGGGCCAGACACTCCCTATGGGCTCAGGAGACCCTGACTTCCGTAATTTCAGTTCCTTTTTTTGGGGCAGAATCGAGGCCAGAGCGGGGAGGAAGGGCTGTGGCCGCTGCCCCGGCTCCCGGACCCCTGAACCAGGGCTTGTGTGGGCACTGCCGCCTCCTGCCCACCCCACGAGCTTGCCCGACGGAGCAGTCACACAGAGAGGCTGAAGGGTGGCCGACAGGGACTCTGGGGCAAGAGAGCGGGTGCAGCCCAGGCTGGTGGGGTCACATCTGCCTGGGAACCCCACAAGGCACCTCCTCTGCCAGCAGGTCTCGGGTTCAAATCCTCCATTCACCCAGCACTGCCTGGTGCCAGCAGTGTGCCAGGCAGTGAGCCACAGTGGGGAGTGAGTGGCCCATGGGTTCACCTTCACGACAGGCAGATGGGAGAGAATAGAGCAGTGGGGTCCAGCAGCCACCCACGGGGCCACACATGGAACCCCAAGGTCGGCCACCCCTGTCTCAGCCAAAAGTGAGGTTTCAGGGCTGAGCCAGGCCTGGTGGGGCTGCGCTGTGGCTCCCTGCCCCCGCCGCATGTGGCATCGGAGACATCCTCATACAGCAAAGCAGACCACTGAGTCCCCGGGGCAGCCGGGTGGGCTCAATGGAGGAAGTCATGCTTGGGCTGTCTTAGAAGAGCCAGGGCAGGGCTGGCAGAAGACAGTCAAGAGCTGGGTGGTCAGGAGGTGGTCATTGGGGAGCGGGGGCTGCTGGAGCTAGAGGGTGGCAGAGGCCGGATCTCAAGCTCCTGAGAGCAGTTGAGCCTGTTCTCTCCTGGACAATGGCTGTTCCACAGGCTCTAAGCAGAGTCTGCAGTCAAATTGGGGCATTCGCTCTGCAGCCAGGGTTGGTTAGAGAGGGGTCAGGGTTAGAGGGGCCAGGCTGGTACAGGTGCCTGGGAGTCAGAGTTAGAAAGGGTTCAGGGTTAGCGGGGCCAGCCCAGCCAGGCGCCTGGGAGTCAAGGTTAGAGGGCCGAGGCCAGCACAGGTACCTGGGGGGAGGGGCTGGCACCAAGAGATAGACTTTAAGGGCCTGGGTGGCACAGGGCCAGGCTAGAGTCCAGGTGGGGCTGAGGGCCAGAAATGGCCAGAGGGGAGGCAGCCTGCTGAAGGCGGTGACGCCAGTGAGCCCAGGAATGGTTGGGGTGAGCCCAGTAGGCAGGTGCCTTGGGCGCAGCGAGTAGGGTCTACAGCAGGCTTAGGTGAGCCCCCGACCTTGAGGGTCTGACCTTCCCAGGAGCCCTGCAGGGCGCACTGGTGAGTCCCAGGGCCGGACTTGCGCCTGGGCCTGGCCCCAGACCCCACGGTCCTGCCCTTGGTTCCACCGTCTCTCCTCCCCCCAGCGTCCTCCCACCTTAGCTCAGATAGGACCATCCCTGCCTTCCAGCACGTCCTGCCCCCAGAACAGGGCTTCGGCAAAGGGTGGGGCGTCGTGGGAAGGATGGCGGGGGGCCGGGCGTGCACAGCTGCGGAGCCCCAAGGGTTAAACATGCAAGACTACACTTTGATCAAGACAAACGAGCCATTATGTGAAATGCTGGAGCAAGATAAATGCTGGCACTGGGTGAGCGAGATCAATAAAAGTGATGTTTTATCAGGGAGAAATGACAACCCGGCTGATCGCAATTCGTTTTTAATACCACAAACCAACTGGGGACCAGGGGGCTTTAATTGTCCGTCCCCGGCCTGGCGAGGTTGCTGGGGGTTGGCGGGGACTAGGGGAGAGGCAGCCGCATAGCTCAGCCATCGATGGGTCACCGGGCACTGGAGCTGGCCAGACGCCCATGCCTGTGGCCTCTGATACAGTCTCCTGAGTCTATAGCAGGCAGGATGAGGAGGCCCCTGGGTGCCAGCTAAGCAAACAAGCAGAGGCAGAACCCCAGGGCAATGACTCTGAATAGATCCCTGCCTCCTGCCAAGCCCCTACCAGGAACCTGGGCCCCTCAGCCTCCACTCTCCCCCCACAGCCACCCTGTCCCGCTCCCTAGGAGTCCCAGTGAGAAGCCAGCACCTCCCTCCTCTAAGCCAGAGGACCCTCCCTAACACCAGAGCCTTTGTAACCCACCTCAGGCCACCTGGAGTCGTGACGGGAATGAGGACACATCTAGGAGAGCGAGATTCCTGAGAACAGGTGGGTGGGTTGCTCAAGGCCCGGCCCCCACTCAGTGCCAGCCTGGGACCACAGCACAGCTGGCCAGGGGGACCAGGAGCCTGAGTGACCCAGGCCCCGGGCCTGCCCCTGCCTCAGTTGGGGAGCTGGGCCAGGCCCTGGTGGGTGGGGTAGGAGTGCAGCCTGGGGCCAGGCCTGCAGGGGCAGCCTGCCTTTCCAACAGCCTGGACCCCAGGGTCCTTCTCTGTGAAATACAGACCTTGAGTCTCTCCCCCACCCATGAGACCAGGATGGGCTCACAGGCAGCCCAAGGGATTTCTGGATGGATACATGGGCAGGGCCCCGTCGGCATGGGGGTCCCTTTCCCTTGGCTCACAGGCTCAGCCCCCAGGCCTGTGTCCCCACGCACACCCAAGGGAGGCTTGAGAGGCCAGTTTGGGCAGAAAGAGGAGCAGGGCCCGCCTCCAGACCTCCCGGGTGTCCGCGCCTGCCACAGGGATCAGCGCCGCGCTCACGGCTCTGGCAACGCTTGCCTCACTTGCAAAGGCCAGACACGCTTCCGCTTCCATTCAGTCCTCAGGACTCCTGAGGGCCTGGGCAGAGGCCTCCCTAAAGCAGGAAGAAGCGGCAGACCAAGAGCAGACACCGACAGTAGCCATGTGGGGCTCAGAGCAAGGTCTTCCGTGAGCACGACACGTGGTCTTGGCCCGATGTCGCCGCAGCACTGGGAAAAGCGTTTTCTTACATCCCACGTCCCCCTGGCGTCTTTTGCCCCTTTCCTTTGTTTAGATTGAGTTTCAGGCAGGCTGTATCCTGTGTTTTAAGTCACTGGGGCCACTCCGATGGGTATCTCCTGTCTGTTTTTTGGAGGCTCCCAAGGCCGACTACACCCATTTGCAGAAAGAAAAGGCAAGGGGTAGACACGGTACCCTAGGCCTCCTGGGCCAACACCGACTACCCAGGGGAAATCAGGCCTGTCTCCCTGGACAGAGGACAGCAGCGTCCCTCATGATACCCAGGGCTGGTGGGGAAACTCAACACGTCCACCCTATCCCAGGTATCCTAGAGTCTGCCATCCTGCCAGCAGAGGCCTGTGATGTCCCTGTCCCATCAGAGCAGACTCAGTGCATGTTGGTTCTCAGCCCTGACGATGTGATCTGTTCTTGGCATGGCCACAGCTTTTTCCTTCTAGTCATCCACTCCTCTGTCCATCTGCCCATCCATATCTGTCTGTCATATCAACGTTTGATATAAACTCAAGACCTCCTGTGTGCCAGCTCCTGTGCCAGGCACCACGATGCAGTGTTGAGAAGATGACACAAAGACCCCACCCCCCAGAAACTCAGAGCCCAGGAGGAAAGAAGGACAGTACCGAAGCCCTGGCACCTCCGAGGGAGAAGCTACATCGAAGGGCACAGGACGGGGTCCCTTCCCCAGTATGGAGCAGCCAAGGAATCCAGCTCCAGGCCCCCAGGGAGGGGAGCAGTCTTGTTGCCCTCCCAGGAAGCTCAGCCCCTAGCAGAATGCACTTCCGGGGGCATCTGAGTTGCTTCCTTTAATTGAATCTGAAGACAAAAGTTGAGCTAAGGCAGCCTGCAGAGAAAGGCAGGAGAAGGGCCTTGCCTAGGTAGGAATTGTCTTCCATGGGCATCACCTCAGAAAACAGCAACTTGGAGAACAGCCTCTAGGCCTGGGCCCTCAGCCTGGGGCAGACCGGCTAGGCCAGTGGGAATGCTGGTCTCACCGAGCCTCGGGCTGGGGGGCTGGGGCTTCACTGAGAAAAAGTTCCAGATGGCAGTGGGGTGGGCTAAGCCAGAGGCCTCCCATAGCCCCTCTGACTGAAGGTTTCCAGCAGCGAGGAACCTCAGGCTCTCAAACCCTTCCTGCAGTGGTGGAATGGTCTAGAGGCCTCCTCGCAATCTGGTTTGCTGAGAGGGGAAAGTTAAAACCACCCTTCTTATTTGGGAGCCTTTGAACAAGTTTATGATCTTGCCCCTTGTCAGGAAATCTGTTTTCACTTATAAGAAACACGCTGGCCCAGGGGCTGGCGGTCAGACC